ACCAAATATTATCTTCTATATTTTGTATTTATTGCCGTATGATTGTCACCCTATGACGTCCTCTATGGTTGACCTGTATTTAATATATAACTGTGAACACTGCTGACGAGGTCACGCCAGCTGATTGAGTGCAACAGTTCGCCGTAAGTTCTGATTCACTCAAAACTGGAATCTCAATCGTACAATGGCAGGAGAAAACAAAACTTTGGCTGTCCTTCTTCGCGAAAAGGGCGACCTTGAAGTGGTAAGTTTGCAATGAAAATTATAATTGTATGAAAGATAACCATAAATCCTTGACTTAAAATTGTATTTCATGTGTAAGAGCTGTGACCCTTAATTTTGTCCCAGCTATGAATTCTGCTATTATAGCAGACAAGGTAAATACACAGCGAATTGATGTACACCGCTTGGGGTCAAACAGATTACAAAACATGTAGTAACTGCATGTATAGGGCGTTGTACTGTGACGTCAAATGTTTACATTTTGTAACAAACATGCTTAAGCTTGCCAGAAAATGATTTTTTTAAATTTAATTCATTCAATTCCATATAGTCTAATATAATTTAATAAGCAAAATTATTGTAACAAACAAGTACTGTATCATTATAAACTATTTTAGAGCGTGCTAAATATAATCTTCAGACAAAAAAGATGGGTATAATATGAACGTATGTAATCATTCATAATTTATAACACAATAATACCAGTGTACGCCTGGTAACTGTGCAAGATACAAATAAAGAAAAAAAGGCAATGAATAAATCATATTTTCACACACGTTATTTCACAGAGTAATTATATATTTTCTGACCTAAAACTTTAGCCCATAGATGGTTTGTTTCATATATATACAGGATTGTATTTTACAAGCGTTGTATACGTTTTGGGATAGTTATTTTTGTAACCCCCACCCTTAACCATACTCCTCAAGCACATTCAATTGCATATGTAGACTGGGCATATACAATTGAGTTGGGGTGAAGGTTAGGATTAGGGGTGGGGCATACAATAGGAACTTTTCCCTACGTTAACTGTTTCATGTAATGTGTTTCATGACATTTTTTTAATATCGGAATATAATAATTTTATGTAAGGTGATTAGATGTTAAAAATATCAAACTTTGTATTTGTTAAAACAATTTTTGACGATTCGGTGCCAGTATTTATAGACTTAAAATAGAACTGCGGAGGCATCTCCATTTTTATTAATAAAATCACCAGTTGCTATAGAAATTGTATAAATCCTTATGAATATATAAAAATTAACACTAAAGCGTCCTGTCCCAGACTCCAGGTTGACTTTAACACGGTTGAACCAATTGTCATAATTTATGTCATAGCGCCAAATGTCATGTTTTCAAAAAAAAATTGCCAAATGTTCTATAGACATATTGAAAACTTTGGGGAAACATTGATTATACATTTTTTAGAAGCTCACATAAGTAATTGCTCATATTGTCTGCTGTATTTTCTAATTCTCACTTACTTTGACCAGAGACCGACGCACCTGTGTCATTCATAATAAAAAGAATATAGTACTGTATTCTGCTCTGTTGTAGGTAGAAGTGGAAAAACCTTCACCTGGTGAAAATGGTATGCATATTATTGACCCGGTGTCAAAAAGTAACACCAAGGTCAACAAATAACACGCATTTGTTCGCTACAACAACAAAACCAATGGAATAAGTTACATTTAACATTCCTACAGAGTTGTGGGTGTCTTTATGTGAGTTGCGTTTCCACCCTGTAAAGATGTGAAGCAACCCCCTCAGAAAAGCCATAAGCATAAACTGTTGCTGTTGTAGCTAAAAAGTAAACAAATGTATCTACAATGTAACTGACCACAAAAGACAAACCAACGTCTTCTAACTTGCATCATATTCAGTGTACATGTTACAAATCTAATTTAATTTAATTTAATTTAAGAGTCTCGATTATATATATTATGTGGTTTAATTCTCATTACCCGTCTACAATAGCAACATTTTATGTTGTCTATATTATCCATAGGCTAGTATACATTTAAAAAATCGAATGCAACTTCAACCCCTCAAATGCCTTTCAACCTTTTTCACCAGCAATGTTTGTGTTTTAGCTGCTCAAATTTCAACAAAAACTAAAGGCAATATCTGAAACTGTCCAAATGAACCGAAATGATAAAATTTAGTACCCCAGTAACTATTGTACAAAATATGAAAATATTTGCACTGATTTATGGCGGGAAAATATCTGACAGGGAATCGTTTAAT